CATCCAATATTGGATCACGCCAAATAGATTTGTCCTTTTTTACGCGTGAAAATCAACATTTTCGAAAAGATTCAAAATTTTATATTCCATTGTCTAAACGGACCGGACTAGAGCCATTAAAATCGGATGAATCTAGTAGTTTTTTATGTTTACAGATTGCGATGTCTACCGCCAAAGGCTGCAATTATTCTTTGACGTTCATCAGTTTATTGAAATCATCATCGGTTTATAATACGATAAAAATATGATTGTAAGCCCCTATTCATGTTATAATTTTACAATATGGCATAAAGCTCCGCTTTTCCAACCGATTGATATACAGCGTATGTCCGATTGCATCACCTCCGATTTCTAACCTACAACGTATATGAATGTAAACATTATCGAAATCTTAATAATGAGGCTCCCGTTAATAAGGATTAATTAGAAGCTTAGAACAAGCAATTGCAACTACAAATAGTGAGTGTTGTGAAGTGTTTAGTGTCCGTGCAGAAGTAGATATTTCTATGGCAAACGTAAGTTTGAATTTATCACTTGTTGATTTAACTTGAGTTAGGGTCTCTGTTCTCTAAACTAAATTAAACAATCATTCAAAATATGTAATAGTAGTGTCGAAGTACCCAACTACAAATTTGTCAGAATTAGAAGGTCTTCTTAAATTCTTAAACAACAGTTTCCTATTTCTAACCTACAACGTATATGAATGTAAACATTAGCGAAATCTTAATAATGAGGCTCCCGTTAATAAGGATTATTAATTAGAAGCTTAGAACAAGCAATCACAACTACAAATAGTGAAAGTGTTGTGAAATGTTTACAGTGTCCGTGCAGGAGTAGATATTTCTATGGCAAACGTAAGTTTGAATTTATCACTTGTTGATTTAACTCGAGTTAGGGTCTCTGTTCTCTTAACTAAACTAAACAATCATTCAAAATATGTAATAGTAGTGTCGAAGTACCCAACTACAAATTTGTCAGAATTAGAAGGTCTTCTTAAATTCTTAAACAACAGTTTTTAACTATATTTGAGAGTCATCATACAGATTTTTGTAGAAACGATGGATACATTACATGAAATGAAGAAACTCACAGTGTTATTGAATTGCTTTGTGACTACTAAAGCTTATTTTTGCCAAAACAACAGACACTATTACTTGTCAAAAAAGAATGACCACAGGAGTGCTTGAACTGTTCAAAAAAGACATGAATGCCTGGTCGACTAATGCTGATGAAGTTTAGAAGCATACGCAAAGACCTAAATTGTAATTTTCAGTACCTAATTTGCTAGCATAGCTTCATCAGCTTTTTTCGTTTCTCTGTTCGCATAAGGACTAGGTTTTGAGTTGTAAATGATCTAAATACGAAACACACATACAGAATTAGAAGGTCTTAAATTCTTAAACAACAGTTTTTAACTATATTTGAGAATCATCATACAGATTTTTGTAAAAACGATGGATACATTACATGAAATGAAGAAACTCACAGTGTTATTTAATTGCTTTGTGACTACTAAAGCTTATTTTTGCCAAAACAACAGACACTATTACTTGTCAAAAAAGAATGACCACAGGAGTGCTTGAACTGTTCAAAAAAGACATGAATGCCTGGTCGACTAATGCTGATGAAGTTTAGAAGCATACGCAAAGACCTAAATTGTAATTTTCAGTACCTAATTTGCTAGCATAGCTTCATCAGCTTTTTTCGTTTCTCTGTTCGCATAGGGACTAGGTTTGAGTTGTAAATGATCTAAATATAAACACACATACAGAATTAGAAGGTCTTATTAAATTCTCAAACAACAGTTTGTAACTATATTTGAGAGGCATCATACAGATTTTTGTAGAAATGATGGATTCATTACATGAAATGAAGAAACTCACAGTGTTATTCAATTGGTTTGTGACTAGCAAAGCTTATTTTTACATGATATTTTATTGATTTGACAGTTGTGAATCTTCAATTAGCGAAAGTTCAACAGATCAAGTTACTCAGCCATTCAAGGGGATGTGCCATCAAGATAACATTCCTGATGTAAAGAGGTAAATGATCATTCTCATATCAAAGCAAATAAATATATTCAACTGAAGCTTGCAGAATTATGCAGAACTAGATACTTTATAGTAATATAATACTTGCTTTTTGTTTCAGGCTGAAATTTGATGACCTACCCAACATTTCTGGCTTGTCTACCAGTAAGTATTTTTGTTTTGAATATTAAATTACATGAAATATTTTATATAATTTAATATAATATAATTATATTATGATATTTTATTTTTATAGGTCAGCAACAGGAAAAAAGCATCAGTTTCCAATCTTGATCAAAGCTTTGGATCTTCTTCATCAACAATTAGCGTCTCAGAAACTGAGAACCAACCAGAGCCTGATGCTGGGTTCAAGGATGTTTCTCTTGCAACTGCACGTAAAAATAGGTGAGAAATATTGAGAAAATAGATGATCTAATAAGATTTTAATGACATATGCTTCACATATATGATGAATTCCAATCATATCTCATTGTTTCAGAAAAAGAAGGTATGTGGGTGACTTATCTTCATCAGACTTTTCTACACCAGAGAAGGCGAAGAAGAATTTTCATTTGATGAAGAATACTATAACTGCTCTGAGAAAGAAGAGTCATAATCTTCAGGCTAGCAATACATACTTTAAGAAAAAAATCAAGACATTAGGAGGCTTGATGAAGCTGCTTAAAGAAAAATCATATAACTAATTCGTCAGGGACTGTTCTTGAGGTAAAAATCTCTAAATTAGATAATATAGAATAACGGACAGAAGTAAAATTATTTCAATTTTTTCTTTGGTATCAATCATACTGATTTTTGGATAGTAGTAAAGACTCAGTTTAGGGTTCATGTTTTTAATTGAATGTGTAATAAATTTACTTGTTTCATCAA